CGCCACTTTGCCCACCCCAAACCCCACTTGACCAGACCCGGGATCGACCCCGGGCCGCCGCTGTGGGAAGCCAGCGACTAACCGCTTGAGCTATGGCGCGCCCTATTTATTATCATTTATCATATTGTCAGGTGTTTGGGTGACTGAGACGCGGTTTGGATTTGTAATTGGTCAAGTGTCTTCATGTCCAGTGATTGAAGTTATCTGTTTCTAAGGAACCCAGCTGAATAGGTGTCTTTCCTCCACTCACCTGAGGACGGAAAGAGATCCAGTTTTCGAAACGTCGTGTTTTCTATTTTCTAGAATACCGAACGATGGAAAAAGTCCAAAAACCCGGTAATTCTGACAACCCATTTAGAGTGGCTGTTTGTTCGACATGTTTCCACAACTACAATGTATATGAAAGTGAAAGTGACATTGCGACTGACGGTCAGTAAGTCTTGGTGTCGAGCCCCATTTGGGGCTCATGACCAGATATTTATTACTCTTTGACAGTTACGGTCTTGTTTTTGTGGAGCGCCATCTCTGACGAGAGGACGGGTCTGTCTTTTGTATATGCTACTGGCCATTGCCAGCGCAGTCTTTCTCAGATCCAAGTCCCTTGGTACTTGCGACCATACTGTCTCAGATTTGAGACTTCCCTTTTCGTCGCCTCCTACGACTCGCAGCGTCACGGTGGAGGTATTCGACCACGCCTCCACACGGGCGCTGACATATAGCCAGTCCAAGTCCAAGTCACATTGCGACTGATGGTCCGTCTGTCTGTCTTAGTGTCGAGCCCCGGGTGCGGATAACCCAAAAATTAACTCAAAAGTTAATATGACTGGATGTAAATGCTCTGGAACATTTCAGATGCTTAAGAATTTGTTGTAGAGAACGGTCTTATAGATAAGTACATCAGGTATTACGAACATAAAGAATGATGGCAGACGGTACGATTTCTTCTTTCTAAAACTCATGCGAAATGGTTTATTTGCGTAATGTAATACCTTAAAGAATTATAAAACAAGCGTGGGAATTTTTAATTTGTGTGAAACCACGGAATTGACCTGCTTCGTAGTTTCTTAGCTAACAGCATTTAGGCTGGCAACAGCAGCATCGACATAAATGTTATGACACAGGCGCCAGTCGTACGTCGACAGAATACGTATTATATTGTCACGTGCTTCAGTGATTATGGCGCGGGTTTGGATTCGTGAATCGATTTATTGGGTCTTCACTAGTCGTAACTACAATCAGTTCTTACTCTGAAGATTACTGTAACTATAGCATACGTAACGTCACACACTAAGTCTTCTAATTCTTCTGACCACACTGCTGCTCCCTTGGAACTTCGGAACTCAAGTGAAGTCAATTCAGAGTTCAGAGTTACTTTACGACTGGCGGTTTACCATCAATCAGTTAGTCTTGGCGACAAGTCCCTTGATACCCACGACCAGAATTGTTATTTTCCAACTGAACATTTGCGGTTATAGTCCTTATGTAACATCCTCTCTGACGAGAGGATGTGTCTGTCGCCTACAATTGCTGCTGAGCCTCGACAGCGCAGTCATTCTCAGGTCTGAGTCACAAGAGACTCATGACCACATTTTACCCCCATCTGGAGGGACAGGTCCCCGTATTTATATCCCCCCAAGAAGAGGGTGGCCCGTATTCTCTCATATCATCTCTGCATGGACCACGCACAGAAAACAGTTCTATTGTTGCGTAGCGTAGACCACACAGAAAAATTGTCACGTGTTAACTATCTCGTCAGTCCATTTGTGTTGCCTAGCAACGAGCTGTAAACATTCATCCTACTGTTGCGTGACCTTAAGCAAGAAGGTATTTATCACGCCGTTGCCTAACTATACACGTTACATAATAAGGTATAACCCCGAAAGCAAAAAGAGTATAATAATAACAATAATAAATCTAACATCGCGGTCGAATGGGTACCTATTTTGTGTTCAAAAGTTTCTGGATTCAAATTTCCTCTCGGAGACCGTCCAACCTGGGTGAGGGTCGCTTCCAATTCATTATTAATTAATTATCCTACAAGTCGACTCTATATAAAATGAGTAACTGAAAGCGACATCAAATACTAATATATTAATGCAGAAATAAGGGAGGAACATAGACTGACGGTGTTTGAGAACATGGTGTTGAGAATATTTGGACCGAAGAGAGATGAAGCGACAGGAGGTTGGAGAAAACTGCATAATGAGGAGCTTCATAACTTGTACTCTTCTCCAAGTATAATTAGAATGATCAAGTCAAGGAGGATGAGGTGGGAAGGTCATGTAGCACGAATGGGGAAGACGACGAATGCGTATAGGATATTGGTTGGATAGCCAGAAGGAAAGAGATCACAGGGAAGACCAAGGCGTAGATGGGTGAACAATATTAGAATGGATAGACAGGATGGGATGGTATGCATTGGATAGATCTGGCTGAGGATAGGGAGCAGTGGAGGGCTCTTGTGAACACGGTAATGAACCTTCGGGTTCCATAAAATGTTGGGAAATTCTTGAGTAGCTGCAGAATTGGCGACTCCTCCAGAAGGGCTCAGCTCCACGAGTAAGTAAGAATATTATGATCGGTTCGTAATCTTATGAATTCGATTTTGTTACAGAAGCTGAGCATGCGACCCCGTCTTATTCGGGTTCATGGTTCGTACCTTGTTGGAGTGGGGACCGTAATTATTCTAGTGTTCTATCTCACCTCACCCGCTCGTGATTCGCAGGAGAACGAGACTGCGCAGGACGCAGTGCACGAAGACGTGACCAGTGCCGGTGAAAGCGAGCCCGATCTTAACAGATACATCGTAAGTATCGGAAGAACGGCTGCACGAGAATTTTGAATTGTGAAAGCAGAAACTCTGGAAACTAGAAAATGAATTCGAATCCCCATATGTCTAATTCACTCTAGATGGTGAATACCTAAAATACATCCAAGGAAAATAGAGGCAAGAAAGAACAATAAAAGAGAAGATGAAGCGGGACTGCCATTGAAGATGTGTGAGACACTATTTCTTCGGGGGCTGGGGGTGGGGGAAGAGAGTCACTTTGTTAGGTACTCTGTCTTAGGGCCGCGCCATAGCTCAACCGGTTAGTCGCTGGCTTTCCACTGCAGCGGCCCGGATTCGATTACGGGTCTGGTCAAGTGGGATTTGTGGTGGACAAAGTGGCGCTGGGGAAGGTTTTCTCAGAGTACTTCGGATTCCCCTGCCAATCTTCATTCCACCAACTGCTCCACAATCACCCTCATCTATCATCTGGGGCTGGTACAATACGCCAGAAGTGTCCGCAGTACAAGGGACTTAGTCCTACCCCACTAGCAATAAAAAGAATACTCTGTCTTAGCAAGCTCACAATTTTGGTAAGGGTAGTATGAAGAAAAATACATTACAATGGTAAAAAGTATTGATGATCAAACAGTTTATGACGATTGTACGTTAGTACAAATATTATATTTCTGGACATCAGCCATCGTCCTGTCTATATTTCTAAACACAACGTTTCGGAGACTGGCTCTGTCTCCGTCTTAAAGTAAAACTTACTCAGTTGGGCCCAGTCGATAGAGCTTGTGCCTGTCTCCGGAGACACACACAACGTTTCGGAGACTGGATTCTCTCTCCGTCTTCAGGTGGAAACTATTCAGCTGGGATCAATCACTATCTGAGTAGGTTTTACCTGAAGAGAGACAGGCTCGTCTCAGAAACGTTGTGTCTCTAACAGGGCCTACCTCTATTGATTGGGTCCAAGTGAGTGGGTTTTACCTGAAGACGGAGACAGAATTCAGTCTCCGAAACGCTGCGTTTTGAAACCTAAACAGGGGGGTGTTTTAGAGAAAAACAGGACGATGGACAATGTCCAGAAACATAATATTTGTAAAAATTACTGGCTTGGAACAAAGGCAGCCGAATTTTGATTATCCATATCAATGGTGAATTCCATACTTTGGATGATATTCTGGGGTGCTTTACAGCAAATTGAGTTAGTTTTGACAAATTTAAATTGAGAGAGTTGTAGTGTCTTATGGTGGCAACCCAAGGTACCGATGAAAAACGAATTAGTGAGTGGACTGGTAAACTGAAAACGTCTGGTGACACTATGTTGCGCAGAGAGAAGCTGAAGCAGACAACAGTCAACGGCTGCAGAGGGTCCAGCAGGTGTGTCACCGCTACAATTTGGGGCTGTACAAGCATTCGGCAGACCCACCTAAATTCAAGCACCCGCCCACCCCACAATACAGTGTCTTCTATATAGATAGGTGAGTGAAATTTGTAAATATTACGACTGAATACGGGTAACGCGACCACCTCGACAGCGAAATGGAAATTTTGGTGAGTTGGGGACGAAAAGTTGCAAAAATTCGCAATTAGTTTCGTAATGTCTGTAGTAATATACCACTTAAAATTCTTTCAATCGAAAAAAAACATGTTTCTTTACCATAGTTCACGATATATTTTGAGCGATTATCACAATTAATATCGACAATATCCCTGCATACTATTAACCAGTTGATATTTTTTATGGAGATGGAGTTTGTTCTCTGTGACGTAAGAATTCTACTTTTTTTTTAAAGTACTATTTCGTTGGAATTGGTGCTTCTGACTAGCAAACAACATGTATGAGAAGTGACCTTACACACCAAGGAACTAACAAGAGAGCTGTGTGTTGAACTTACTGGTGTAAACTCCATTAACACGTGCGGGGTTTACTTTTGTACCGAAACGAATTTCAGTCGAAATTAAGGGGCAGATAGCTTCGTGATCAAAATAAGAAAATAATTTTATAATGTTCATGAATTCATGAAGACAGGATCCAGATCTTACTAAACCAACAAATGAAATTTACATTTTCGATTAGCGTATGTAAAGTAACGGACACAGAGCTGAACCATTTCCAACACACCAATTTAGTCTTATTCCTACAAAGATGACTTGGTAAAGTTGTCCCTACACGGGGGAGTAGATGCATAGAGACACATTTTCTTGACCTCGGCACTATCTTGAGATGAGTGGTCAGCTTCAGGCCCCGTCTACTTTAACCTTGGGGAAGGAGCTCGCATTACTTATTGGATAGGAGGTTGGGTGGACCCCAGAGCCTGTCCTAACGACGTGGAGAAAATTCTTTACTTTACCGGGACTTGAACTCCGAAGTTTTTACTTTAGATAGTGACATAAAACAATGGTTAGGGACAATCTTGCAGCTTTGTGGCGGAAACTGGCACTCTTATAACGGACACAAGCTAGAGTCGTGCCCGATCTAAATAGGCGCTATAACAACGCACTGGAATTCTTCTATAGCGCACGGCACACTCGGTATATAACTTGCCGTTACTTCTGCAGGGAACACAAACTGACTTGGTGTCCGATCTATAAAGCCGCCTCTTCCACATGGATGTACAACTTGTGCTTGCTGGCGGGATACACGGAGGAGTACCTTGCCGAGAATCATAAGCAGACGAACCAACTGGCGAGAGAAGCCTTCCCGGAGCTAGACCGCACGGACGCTGAAGAGGTATTTGGTGTGGCACGCGTGTTATCAGCCTTCTGATCAGAAATTTGTAGCACCTCGTATCCCCCCATACATGTGTATTTACAACATACAAAATAAATAATTCTGGGGCCATTTTATTACATATCTAACATAGCAAAGACCCTTGTACCTTGGGGAGGGTTTTTTATTAAGTATAACACTCTATCTATTAATGGCACATCTTTTTACTTTGAACAGACACGAAGTCTGATTTATCCCTTTTCTTACTGGGTTTTACAAAAATTTTAGATACATGAAAAGAATGCGAAAATTCAGTTTTTAAAAAGCTGTCATGTGACCTGACGAACAAAGGTACTTTTACCTGGGACCACCATGCATTTTACCTTGGGTCACTCAATATGTGATGCACAAAATGGGGCAGAAACTTTTCATTGGCACAAATGAAACCGTCTAAAATACTTCAAAAGTTTTTTACCTCCTTTCAAATTCACACACACACACACACACACACACACACAAAACTGTAATTAAACAAATAAAGATGCACATCTTAAACGATCTTCTAAGGCTCTGCCGGTTGCAGTACTCCTACATATGGGTAAAATAACAAATGACAAAAGTATGAAATGGATCTCAACAGACATGGAGTCCTGAAAAAGAAACGGGAAATATCATGCCACCTTTCTTACTCATAGCTGGTTTTGGGAGAAATGCTACAATACCTGCAGCGTGTATTTCGCATATGTCATGTGTTTGTGGCCAAATAAACACAGAAATGTGTTTAACCCTCCTTGTGAATTTCACTGTTGGTTCTCTTTTCGTCACAGACACAATAACATCTATGTAATATTTCTTTATTTTCTTTGTGGCCAAAGCTACTAAAATCCACTCACTTTGCTGGAAGGGAAAATCCAGTTCAAGTGAAGCATCTTGTCTTTCTTCTTGATAAAAGCGTCAATTCTTGGAAATTTACATAGCTTCTATCATCAGAATTATCATCAAAGGCACATATGCTTCATCTTCAAAGCTCGATTCGAAGGGCTTTTTCCTCTTTGCGCTGTCTCTTCTTTGGTTTCGGAGATGGCCGACCCCTCCACAATGTCCAGTCACTCATTTTCCGCAGTCTGAAGGAAGACTCGACTGCTCGCTTCACGACCTCCAACCTGAGAGTCTGCCTGACGATCTTGTTGAATGCCCTCTTCCTTCATACACGTAGCTGCCCTTTCAGACCTATGTTCCTTATGCTGTTGCTACATTTCGGGCCCTTCCGTCGTTTATGACTGCGGCCCTTACGCCGTACAGGAATGGCACGGCGCATCAACTGTCCGCGGCGCCTTACGGTCAGACGCCGATCCCTAGGTCGGTCCTCAGTTGCCCCGATCGTCTCCACGCACGTCGCTCCACTAGGGACTTCCTGAATCTCCGCTAGGACCTCTACTTTTTTTGGAACTGCCTCCCTCTTCTCCAGACCAGTGTCCATCATCGTCTTCATCTCTTCTTGACTGGTCCACGTTTCATTTCGAAGAACCTCAGCCTTGTCATTGGATTGGTTAGCTCTTATTTCGGCTAGAAGGCGTTCCATCATTTGTTCCATCCATGGTATGGCGTTCTTACTATACAGTGCAATCTTCAATCCAATCCCATTATCCCACTCCTGACACAGTTGTCGCGTTTATGCGTGTGCCTATAGACGGGTTTTTGGATTGATGAGTAGATTCATTGCACACTTGGATTAAGCGTGTGACTACACTTTACATGTACTAGTGTCTACAGTCACGTCTTCAATGCCGTTGCTTGGTAGCGGCTTTCAACGGCGGACGTCAATATTTATACAAACACATACCACTTAACGACATAAATTCTGTTAGAGGCTGAGTCAACCCCAGGGCCAAAGTGCAGCTGGAAGGATTAGGTCAACTGAAAAATCAAATGACCTCATCGGGAATCTGACCTGCGACCTTCCGACTTGTAGCATAGTACCTCAACCAACTACGCTACCATTTGCCCTGCAACTGTATGTATACAAATTATATATTTATGCAACAGGATGCTTAAATACAGTATTAAACAATCTCCGCTGTTATCCAACATATTACAGCTATGTGTTTCACATGACTGAGATAATAAACAGCATTAACTGATTCAGGTTTGTAGTGTGCTGGATTTGAGGTTCTCCTAGCAGTGACTACGAACAGTACTAGCTTCTGAGAAGGAAAGCCATATAGTCCATCATAATTCCCTGAAGTCCCAAGGAACATGCTGTCTCCATCTTCAGGGTTCAAGAGTAAACCAAGCAAGATATTGTCACGTGTATGTGTGACTAGACGGGTCATTGGATTATTGGATTTATTGACCACTTCCAGGTCGTACTGCAAACAACTTTAACACTACCACTATTTCCACACTATACAGTTCACTGTCACACACACTAATGTCTTCTGTCTATTACAGTCTCCACTATCCATTTGCTGGCAATGGATTTTAACAAAGGAACTATGAAAGTCTCATTGACTTACGCACTCCAAATACTGCGATACTAAAGCACACATATAAAGTCTTCACTTCATAGCTCTACTGCCCAACTCTCCACTAACTGCTCACTTGGAACTCCACTGCCAATTCTCAACTGAGCACTTCCTTATAACCAGTTTGCATGGACCTCGTATAAAACACCATTTCCAGAAACACCCCTATTGTTGTAGACGTGTTTACTGATCCATTGCTTAGAAAGGGGTTGCATAAGCCCGTTGTTCTACTGTTCCTTGTGTGTATGTGTCGTGCGTTATGTGGCAACGGTCACTGTTTACAGTCGCTACTTAGCAACAGGTCTACATGCCACAATATTAACAAGAATCATGCAGTACAGCATTATATACTAGAAGAGAGTATTCTTCAAGACACAGTGTGTTCCCAGCGACACAGGAATTTGGTTTTTAAATACTATACTATGTTCTGAATTTGCAGGCATTCCTCAGCACTCTGAAACTATTGGTGGTCCGGCATCCATTTGAACGGCTGTTGTCAGCATACCGAGACAAGCTGGAGAACATGAGAATTGGGTCTGAGCATGGAACAGCCCATTTCTACCTCAAATATGGCAGTCGTATTGTAGCCAAGTATAGGCCAGGAGGCAACAAGACACATTCACGGTCACTTTTGAAACCCTGGCAGTACTTGCGGGACCCTCAATTGCCTGAGCCCACGGGCTTTGAACCCACATTCAAAGAGTTTGTTAGGTAAAATTAATTATTAAATCACATAATATGAAAATACTGAATTTACAAACATGCATTTTGAGGAGAACCCTGTAAGACAGACAACAGTTTTCCATAATAAAATGGTTTAAAGATTGAGGAGTTTTGAAAACTTAGACTGCAGTTTAAGAAAGACAGTGATTCATATTGAAAAGCATGAGGATTGCAAATCTGTCTTTATTCTGTCCTTATCCTGATGGAGGAGCCATTGTTATCAGCAGTAGTTAAAAACAGGGCTTCCAGGCAGGAGTGAAATGAGCTTGTGCTTTGGTCAGCATTGCAGGAAACAATTCCTGTTTCCATTGCTGATAGGATATATATATGCAGTGAAATAATGGGTGAATTATCTGTGGAAACTGCAGCTAGACTGGTCAATTTGTGAACGACAAAACATATCTCAGTTGTTCATTGGTGAACAAGATATTGGCCATAATAATGCTCTATTGTCAGTTGAAGAAAAATAAGTTAAGCACTTTTAACAACGTTTGATTATAAAGAAACCCCTTGCCAAAATCACAGTAGCACTGCTTAGTGCTTACTTCATTATTCAAAGAACTTAAATATCTTAGAATATGTGTAATGTCTTCCCATAGCTTTTAAGTTATCAAGGTTGTGTATTGTCAACAGTTTGTTATTAAAAATTTCCATTTAACTTTAAACAGGCTTTATGCATGTGTCAATGTAGATCAAATAGATTTCAACAGTTCTGTGGGACTATATTATTTTGCTATAAGAAAAAAAAAAGTAAAGCTATCCCTGTAACAGGCCGGGAAGGCATACAGGGTTGCCAGACGTTGAGGCTCTCACATTTTCAAAACAATCAGCTCACATATGGCAGTGAGGTTGTCAGCTTTATGTATCAACCACTCTTTATGCCCCAGGAAGATTTCTGGTACTCATTTCTGTTAGAGGCTGGATCGACCCCAGGGCCACAGTGCGGCTGGAAGGATTAGTCAATTGAAAAATCCAATGAACTCATCAGGAATCAAACCTGTGACCATCTGGCTTGTAAGGCAGTGCCTCAATCAACTACACTACAGCATGCCGTCATTTTGCTATAAGGGGCGGGATTTATCAGAATTCTACAGAACTATAATTTCATCTATATTAGTCTTTTGGAATATGACATCTTCAAGGTAGAGCTACTTCTACACAGAGGGAGCAATCTCTTCAAAATTACTGGTATCGAACTACAAGGCCACAGGGCATCATATGTCAGAAGACTGTAATCTTAATATTTGGTGTTGTGAGAACATCAAATCTCATAATTCTTATTTTATATAGATTCCAAACTTTGTCTCTTACCCTTAGGCAGGAATGGTGAACCATTGGCAGCAAATGAGGCTGGCATTGGTTTCGTCTGTATTAATATCTATTTTTTTTTATTGCTAGTGGGGTGGGACTAAGTCTCTTGTACTGCGGCTACTTCTGGCCTATTGTACCAGCCCCAGATGATAGGTGAGGGTGATTGTGGAGCAATTGGTGGAATGAAGATTGGCAGGGGAAACCGAAGTACTCAGAGAAAACCTGCACCAGCGCCACTTTGTCCACCACAAATGCCACTTGACCAGACCTGGGATTGAGCCCGGGCCGCCGTGGTGGGAAGGTGGGAAGCCAGCGACTAACCGCTTCAGCCATGGCGCAGCCACATTGACATCTAACTAACTCAATAATTCTCCAAGTTGTAATTTGTTACCATAACACATTTCTGCAATCACTTTTTGTACCCATCTCAGGGGTAGATGCTCAGGCATAATTTTAAAATAATATAGGGAATTACTATAACACAGGTTTGGCAAAGAGTGTCTTCGCTCGGGTCTGCAAACTCATTAACTGCTGAAGCAAAAGTCAGTGGAAATAACTTCTTATAAGAAAGGCTCTAGAACTAGATAGACATTGTCTACCGCATCTATCCTCATTTTAATATCTCAATCCACTATNATTTCTGCAATCACTTTTTGTGATTGCAGATCTGGATAGCCAAATGCTCAGGCATAATTTTAAAATAATATAGGGAATTACTATAACAAAGGTTTGGCAAAGAGTGTCTTCGCTCGGGTCTGCAAACTCACTGACCGCTGAAGCAAAAGTCAGTGGAAATAACTTCTTAAAAGAAAGGCTATAGAACTAGATAGACATTGTCTACCACATCTATCCCCATTTTAATATCTCAACCCAGAACACCAAGAAGAATGACTGCCATTATTTTGAATTGAAATATATGAGAGTCGAATTCTTTGTAGCCATCTCACACAGAATCACTCCTGCCTTTTATCTCTTTCAAAATCAAATACATTCTAATAACTGAAGAACTGCCTGAAAGAGCAGTAGATATCTCACTAAATCCACCAGATGGTGCTGCAGCAAAAATAATTATTATCTCTGCCCCAAGGGAAGAATATAGGTTAGGGTGTCTGGGAACAGGGTGCTGGTGCAGAAGACCTAAGAGGGTGCCAGTAACAACTGGAGGGCTGTTGAAGTTTCCTAGTTAGGAATTTCATAATTTGTTCCCTTCAAAAAGTAACAAAAGCCAGTCAGTTTCATGACTGAACTAGGGGCTGGAAAAGTGGGAAACCTGGGTTGAACTCCCAGCAGGGGTAAAAAACTCTCTCTCTCCACTCCCCCATACATCTTCATGGCATGGTACGTGGGTCATTTGCACAGGGACACGTTTACCTTTCCCAGCATTTTTATGGAATCTAATGTTTCATTACACTCTTCACAAGAGCCTTCATTAGTCCCTATACTGATCCAGATAAATTCAGTCCACAGTTTTCCATCCCATTTAATATTTTAATATTATCCTCCCATCTATGCCTGCATATTCCCAGCTAACTCTTTCCTTCATGTGGTTCTTACCAAAAACTTTGAATGGGTTTCACTTCATGTATGCTACGTGCCCCTTCTGATTTTGTCTTCTTTAATGTAGTCATCCTAATAATAATTAGCAGGGAGCATAAATTATGAAGCTCCTCACTAAGCAGTTTTCTTTTATCTCCTGTTACTTCCTGTGTCTCAGATCAAGCATTATTCTCCGCATCTTATCCATAAACATCCTTAGTATAAGTTCCTCCCTTATTGCGAGAGCTGATTATGTTTCACACCAATACAAAACAAGAATTACAGTTTTTCACATTTTAATCTTCATATGTTTAGACAGCAGACTGGATGTCAAAATACAGAACCCAACTTTGATCTGTTCATATTGTTCCCAAGTTTTTATCTTTTCTAGGTTTGTTTCTGCACATAAGTACCCTACAGAAATTGTGTTCCTTCTTTGCTTTTAGGCACCTGATTGATGTGGATGTTGTGTACTCAGATGACCACTGGATTCCCTTCTACTTGTTCTGCACACCTTGTCTACTTAAGTATGACATAATTGCCAAAGTGGAGACAATGCTGAGAGATCAGGTGTATGTGATAAGGGCTGCTGGACTTCAGGGCCTGATACGACCCCGATGGAGGCACAGAACTTACCACGATGAGGGCAAGCACACATCAATGAGATACTTTTCACAGTTAACAAAACAAGACGTGAAGAGACTGTATGAAAAATACAAATTAGATTTTGAATTATTTGATTACAAAGTTGATGATTATTTACAGTATGCTACAGGAAAGTGACAGAATTATATTTGTATTGGTTTATGAGTATCTGTGAGGAACGAGGACCCTCTACTAAAAAAAAACGAAGGAACTGTTGAAGTTAAACAGGAACCAGCTATGATGGGTGGCAGGACTACTTACAGGACACTGTCATCTCAAAGGACACCTCTTCAAATTGGGACTAAGTAACAGTCCAACTTGTGAGAGGTGTCAAGAATAAAAGGAAACATCCACAGATATCCTGTGCAAATGTGAGGCCTTAGCTTATTTAAGATTGCGCCACTTGGGTCAATATTTTATGGAACCAAGTGACTATTTCTACGTCCCTATGTACAAAATCCTATGCTTCATTCGAAGCGCAGGCTTGTTGAGGGGATAATCAGAAGGGGAGGCACAATAGATCACTGTGATCGTGGTGCAAGGGCCAAGAAGACCCACCCCTTATACATTCACTCATTCATCTGTGAGGAACAGCTTCAAGAGAACACAGAGGGCAACAAAATTCTTAGTTTTGTATCTTCATATTCAGAGATAACTTATAATAAACTGAATGTCATTTTTAACAGTATTCCCATTTCATGCAAGTATTTAGGTGGTCTTGGGTTGAAATCTCAGCCCAGAGATAAATATCACAAAGCGTTGGTTAACAGCTGTAATTTTTATTTGCTGGGTGTTGGGTTGAAATCTTAGCCAAGAGATTAAACGTCAAAAGTCCAACAGTTAACACCCCCACTTCTTATTTAGGTGTGGGTGGAAATCTCAGCCTCAAGATTGAATGTGATGATCCAGTGGTTAGCACTCTATTCTCAAGGTCCTAAGTTCACATCTCGCCCAAAATATCATTGTCTGATGGTTAACACTGCTGCTTCATATTTAGGAGATCACAGATTCAAACCTCAACCTGGAGAGTAAACATCATAGTCTGGAATTTAGCATTCCTGCTTATAATTTGTGAGGTCTTGGGTTCAAAACAGAAAGTGAACATCAACGTTTAGTGGCGGGCACTCCTGCTTTGTATTTTAGAGGTCCTGGGTTGAAATACCAGCCCAAAAGGCCAGCATCCATACTTAAGATTTTGTGGCTTCATCAGTCCCTTCATGAAATTCTAGATCTGATTCTTTCTACATCCTGCCCAATTTATTTTTCACCAAATGCCCTGAACGTGCACCTTATAGTTCAAGATGCTGATAGCATTAACCCACTAAAGCCCAGTGGTTCTATACGTACCCCCCATTACAACACGAGAATTCTGCAGTCTGCACACAGAGTGTTTTTTGTGCATTTCACATTGCTCTTACACTAACCAGTGACCATTTCCTTAAACAGCATCAACTGATGCATGAGACATGATGTGTTTCCTGTGAGGTACAGGCTAAATTATGATTTACTGTCATGTGATGTAGTGACTGTAGACAGGGTTTGGATTTGTAGTCAGATTTATTGGACACATTAACACACACCTTTAAACTATACTTTACAAATCACTGTCACGTACAGACTAGCTTTCTCTGCTATGGTCTTCATTGCATTGCTTGGTAGTGGCTTCCAATGGCGGATGTCGCTTTTCCTCTGGGTTCCCAAACTGTCCCCATGCCTCAGCTACCAGCTTCTCTCAACTGACCGTCTCCCTGCAGACTCTCTAAGCTCTTTTCTAGGCCATAGACTCAGACTAATTGCAGCTGAGACATGTTACATATAGACTTGGCACAGACCACACAGAAAACACCGCTTAACAGTTCCTCCATTGTTGCATGGGCACATTGCATAGCAGTGGCTCTGGTACTGTTTTGTGCTTAACAAAGCTACTGCCAAGCAATGGGTGTGTCTGCAGAGCCATTCTCTAGGCTTCACAGTTCTTGCTTTTAACAAATGTCACAAAATTGCTTAGATGAAATAGTTTAAAAGGGTTAAATAAACTAATATTTAAATAAAGAACAAATAAACAAATAGGATGTTAGTAAGCATGTGTCTGTCCCTTGTGACAACTATGTGGCAGGTTCTTGGCTTATGGATTGAGGACAGAGCCTCTAGATATTGAGGACAGCTGGGAATACACTGAATAAGTATAAATGTAGAGCTGACAAGGGGTTTGTGTTCAGATGTAAGGTTAAGTATTCATTATAAAATGTTGTGTTATTAAACTTTTACAGAAGACATGAAACCGGCGAGGATGTCAGGTGAAATGTTATAAGGATCAGTTGAACATGCACTGAGTTGTTTTTGAACTGAATAGGTTATTAGCATTGTTGAACCTTCAGCATATTCTGTCACAGTCAATTTAACAGTATTCAGGGAGAAAACTAAATCGCGATTTGCCTCACACAGTATATTTTTTGCTCACTATTGTTTCATAACAAGGAAAATGTATGTTTATGGAATCACCATAATTACTGTGTATCTGCAAATGTCCCCCATTTCAACCTTGGAACCAGCTGACCACCTTTCATGAAACTTGGTATGAGTACTTTGCAGTTTGAGGTAACTCCAATGCTGTAATTTCTACTTGTAATTCACTTGAGTCAGTAATACGTACATGATACACATATGAACTTATGTGATTATATGTCACTTACTTTATGGTCCTCAAATGATGTACAGCAATAGAAACCTTGAAAAATATGCTATGGTAGTATTTTTGTAGGAAGTAAAATAACATGGCAATCATGTGAAAATTTTATTTAGCACTCTATTTGATGCTAGTAATTAACTACTGCAGCTAGGAATGTCAAATTTGGTATGGTGATATTTTGTGACACAATGTCTGAAAGCCAGAATAGTGAAGCCAAGGAGACATCCACTGCCAGGCAATGGCATGGTAAACATGTTTCTACAGCAACGAATACACACACAACAGAAGGACCATTGCAGTGTTTTCTCTGCAGTCTATGCCAAGGCTACATAACAAGGACCAAAGGTACAAGTAGTCAGCCATGAGTCAGCCCTTATAGCTGGTGGTTAGCCATAAGCACAGGAGTAGGGGAATCTTCATTGCTATAAGCCTCTACCTAGCAATGACCAGTGAAGACATAACATACTGAGAAGACTCAGCATGCTGCAGTGATTTGCAGTGTGTGCAGATCAGAGAGTTATAATTATTTGTAGTTATGAGTTATAATATTCAATAAATCCAATTATCAATCCAAACTCTGTGCACAGTCAGTAACATATGACTATCATAAACATATCCACACATTACATATTAAATATTGGTTGTAAGCCAATAACTACAAACATGGCAATGATATGAAACAATCAGATTATATTCAGCAAACTTAATATGCAGAATCTGTACTTAATAAATAACACAGCCAGTAGTGGGATACTTCAAACAGAAGAAGAAATATCAAGGTTCGTGAAAGGTGTCAGATTTCTCGACTAACCTACTACCACTTTTTTCAAGGACTCTGCTTCATGGAGTTATTGTGGGTTTTGTTTGATGCTACATAGCAACTGCAAAGTTCCTGTCTCTATGTCAGGATGTCTGTCAGTGCAAATGTTCAGGTATGAATGAAAGCTACAGTAGTTGCTAACTATGAGCTGCAATAAATCACTATCATTTTGTAATATATTACTCTACTACATAATCATAGCAGTACTTTCTTACATCCAGTTTACACTGAATAAACCAGGAAGTAATATACTCACATCAACTGCAGGGAAACAGCATCAACAGGAGGCAGCAGCTTAAAGAAACAGAGGTTCTGCTTGGTGAAGTGAAGGCTCTGCAAATTACAAGCATAATATGCATGTTATTATGTAACTAAAGGTCCTTTACAGCATGAAGTAGAAACATGAACATGGATGAAGGCAGACAGATCAACGTTGGAGCCTACCACAATTCTAGCCAATTGGTGCAGATTGTAGCAGAACCAATGTCCACTGGGTTTGGCATCGCTAGTGACAGTGAACAAATATGTGGACCTAACCCCAGCTCCAGGAACCAATACCCAGGCAGCAAGCTCCCCCTTCCTGAGATGATGCTGCATCCACCCTCTGCTGGTACAACTGTCACTATTGAGCCTGGGCGCAAAAGTGTACTCAACGCTGTGCTCACCACCAGCGGGGGGAAGTAACGCACAAAGCATCAATGGGGGCATATGTCTACACTGAAACCATGGGTTGCCTCTTCATCATCTCGAGGTCACCAATGTGGGATGTCAGCTCTGGGTGTTTGGAGAGAGAGCCATGTGAATTTCTACACCAGAAATTTATTGTTGTTAGAAGAAGAGTATATAAACGAGAAGGCAAGCAGAGTGTGCAGTAACTGGTGAGGTACTGTGGGGCCCTAAAAATGACTGTAACTCTAAGGCAGGGCACACCTGATGGATGCTGACGAAACCCGGGCTGCAGTGGGCTGGCTCATGTTAGTGACATTAGTCTTACCTTGGTAGCAGCGAGAAGACAAAGTTCTGCTATATGATCTTGTAGCTGGACCATCAGTACGCCATGGAGGTAGTAGAAGACACCATTACCTCTCCACCGGAACAAGACCCCTATACCACACTGAGGACTGAGCTGGTGAGGTGGCTGTTGCCCTAGAGACAGCAACGCATTCGCCTAGACCCATTGGGAAGTCCACTGCTGGAGCTTATGGCCCTACAGCTGGCTTGCAGTCACCGGGCTGCCCACACAAGGAAGACTGATATCACTAGCATGAGCCAGCCCGCTGCGGTCAGGGTTTTGCCAGCATTCATCAGTTGTAACATGCCCTAGAGTTATGACCTTTTTCAGGCCCTTACAGTACCTCATCAGTTACCACACTCTGCTTGGCTGTTTGTCTGTATATTCTTCTTCTAACAGCAATAAATACCTGATATAGAAATTTATGTGGCCATCACTCCAAGCACCCAGAACCTACATCCCACAGTAGGCTAATGGCAGCAGAGGTATAATTTGTAACAAGTATAGAAGAAACAAATTAGAAACAGTGTACTCCATAAAGCAGCATACAGTACCACCAATGCCAGTTTTTGAGATGTGTTAAGCTTGCTTAAGAATGGGAATAACAAAATTCACATTCAAGTCTCCCTTACTGATCTAGATCATGGAATGCATGCACAAGTCCATTTATGGTCTCGTGTAAACGACACTGTATTATAAATGAATGTAGCTGAGAATCAGAACAGCCTGACAGCATTTAATGAAAGTTGCCCATATCAAAATTTAGATATTTAATTTAGACATTATTTTGTACTTTGTAAAGAGTGCCTAAAAACCAGGAGAAATGAAAGGATAAATAGAGAATTTAAAGATGGATGGACAATATTAAAATGGATCTTAGAGAGATAGGACGGGATGGCATGGATTGGATTGATCTGGCTCAGGATAGGGACCAGTGTAGGGCTCTTGTGAACACGGTAGTGAACCTTCAGGTTCCATAAAATGCTGGGAAATTTTTGAGTAGCTGCAGATTTGGCTTCTCCTCAAGAAGGACTCATCTCCGTGAGTAAGTATGCCTTGGAAAGAAACTGAAAATAAGATGACACGGACAAGGTTTTGGAATGAATGAAGAACCTAGAAGATATTGAACATCAAATTAAAGGATATTTCATAAAAGGAAGAACAAAATCAAGATCAGAACAAGAGGATCTGAAGCTTTCACTGTGGCTAAAATTAATCTAATAACCTGAGAACAATTCATGGGAACATCAGTTTTGGAAAGATATCATGCAGAATGAAGAACATGGGAGAAAACTGAATAGGAGCCTGAGAAGACGGATGGGCTTGGATGCTAGATAACCCACACAAAAACAGAAATGCAGAAAGAAGCAGATGCCTGTAAGAATGAAAAAGCACTTATATTTTGGTATTTTTAATACATATAATTTTAAAAATAATATCAATACATTAGTGGGTGAAGTGAATGTATCTCACAGGTTTAAATACTAAATTCTTCATATAATAAAAGAAAAACTCATGTTAAAGATGCAATGCTTTGAACTGCTGGGTAGGCCCTGCGTGCTCCACCAGCTCATAACTGAGGAAGTCAATTGTTTAAGGACAAATAGTTACAGACTACATCCTTAAACATTTAAAATGTTCACAATTTACAGCTGCAGACATAATGAACCAGCAACTGCAGTTCACAAAACATTTTGAACCACAATGGATCACACATTTTTGTCCCCCATTGCCAGGTAAATATATATTTTGATCAAAGACTAGATCAATTTGTGTGTAAACCCAGAATCATCAGTAAAATGAACAGATGAACACAAAAACTGCATTACCAGCTAATACAAAATTTGTTAAATAAAATACTGTCTTCCTTCTCCAGCATTTCAAAGAAGCAAAAGAATACAAAAACTGCAGGATCTGAGACTTTCATAGTAGTGGTCATGAAGAATTCTATCTTCTGGAATACAACACCATGGTTAACTTTCAACTGACTACATGGCATTATATCCCAGAAGACAACTCTTCATTAAAAAAAAATTATTGTACAAACAATATTATCACACTGAGGTCATGAAGGAAAGCGGCGACGATGTCACTCTTGACTGACCCCTTTTTGAGTCATGCTGTATTTGCTTCCAACCCCTTTCAGCCTATGGCAACAATCCCAAAACGATGGTCACTAGTAAAGGTTATCACATATTTGCCTCTACCAACACTTGTGTGAGCAATATGGCGAAATGAGTGGAAGAGAATATAAGGAAGCACATCAGAGGAGGAAGTGTAACAGCTTGAGGGAGATTGCAATTTCTTTCTGTTAGTTCAGTATACAAGCAGGTGCACCTTAAAATTAATCATGTGAAGTATTTAATATAGTGACACCATCAAACAGAACTGGATGCCTCAATGAGTACAATCAAACGTACAGAATGCAAAGGCAGTTTCCCTTGTGCCCGAGTAGTATGGCAATATAAAGAGAATGGAGTTAAGTTCTGTTACCCTATTTTATACCTTTATCGTTTGATAGCATAAAAGAACACATCACAAAAAAGAGTACTATCTTCTGGCATGTGATGCTGTACAGTCTGGTAGAAGCCTATGTTTCATATGAATGTGCTGCCTCCATTCTGAGCATGTTCCTCTGAAGCATTAGGTAATTTCTACTTGACTTCATGATGTCACATCTCTTCATGATCCTTGTACTTTATTGACTTCTGTTAGAATGAGTGAAAAAGAGAACATATTTCTTTGCACTGTGCAATTGAAGTGTAGCCTTTTAAGAATATCATGATTTGTTTCTGCCTTGTGATAGCCATCTCATACATACAGTTGAAATGAGATCATGGTGATTTGGATGACACAGCACATGAGAATTAGCAAATGTATTTCTGATTTGTATGTAATGCAGCTGTACAAAAACTACATGGTAAATACTATCTGGTAAACAGATCTGTTTCTGGTCTTTTGCAGCCCACACAGACTGCTGCTTTTTCACATTATGTAACTATTGGTGATAGCCATGTCAAATTGGGACATCCAACTTTTCTGAGACCTGAGCTACCTCTATCATGAAAGGATTCCCTAAAGATGAGTCTGTCATCCTGAGTCACCACAAAAGCTTCAAGTATTAAACTGCACAACCACCTATAGATTACAGGTTTTGGTTCAATGTGATTTGTTAGTGAACACAACTTTCATTACATAGAGACTGAACTAATAAAATTCCACTGTACTGTTGTCTGAATTCAGCATGCCAACATGACAGCCCTAAAAAACCAAAGAACTGCAATATATAATATAATAACCTGTTGCATTTTGGTTAATCTGGCAACATTCATCTATTATCTATAAGAAACCTGCCAGTGACATTGACTGGTTGCACTATTATTCATTAATTGATCACAAAGTCACCAATATACATTGAACGCTGAATCAAACAGTTCATAACACAACATCTTTTGACCACTGTGTCTTACGTATTAACTAAATCAATGCCCAGTATATGATAGTGAGTTTGCGATTAATTAATATGTAATTGTACAACCAACATCTTCACTTTGTGGGAAGTTCTGTGAAACTGTGTATTTGATGATGGTGAAAGGGGACATGAAACTACATTGCAGGAGAAGCCCATTCCTTCTAATGAAGCACATTTTCCAGTAAGAAAGCAGCAACTGCATGCAAGTAAATTATGTGCTGTTCAGTTGGATTTCTTTTATGCCATGTTTCATTAATTGGTACTGAAATTGTACTTCTGTCTTCTTCTCCTGTTCATAAAGTTAAGTCAACAGAGGGCCTGCTTCAACACCCATTCATGCATATGTATCACAACAATCAATACTTCTGGTTTACAAATACAATATATAAAACCCACTCTATGAGATATGTTCAGTAAAATATGCAAACATTTTTTGCACTTATAAATAAAATGCTTATGGATGATCAACAATGATGATAGAAAGAATTATGGTCTTTTGAGTTGTGACACCCTGTGATCTTACCAATAGATACCTACATTTCAGAGGAACATGCTGCCACCATCTTCAGAGCTGACATTAGCAGGATGCACATTATATAAATATATTACATGGGGAATTGCCACTCATGCCTATGACAGAGAGAGAGAAGACAGAGCTCAGCCCAGGCAAATAGGATGGGTGGACAGGGAATTGTGGGAAAATGGCCCTTTTCGTGACCACTGCTGACAGGAAGATGAAAGCAAGATATTCCTTGAAAACCAAAACAACGGTATCCACCAGTACTACAACATGTTGCAACCCAGATGACCATAATGATCTAAGTACATATCACCATGAGAACCTCAGATCATACCACAGAAAGAGAGTGCAAGACAGTCATAAGATAGAGAGTAATTTAAAACTTGTTTCGCAGTTCTAAAATCATGCATCTTATTTACAAAATTCAGCACAGTGACTTGTATCAGAACACTCTGAATTCACAGCCTGCCATGTTACACTTGTACCATGTATCATATGGGTCACTGTACTAGTGAGAATTAAAATAGTGCCGAATGAATGCCATATGTATTTTAATTCAAGAAACCAACTGTGTAAGGCAAGGTATATGGAAGACCACGAACATGATGTGCAGCAGCGAGTAGGAAAAGAGTGGTTTGAACCAACAGCTGCAAGAGGATACACATGAGAGAAGGTATGCTTACAACAGCCACAGTTTGTGTTATGTGCCAGTGACAAAGATATTACGTAACAACCTCATTCTGTTCTGTCTTCTAAGGACATCAATGCAGATCACTAATATGCTTTGATACTGAAAACACTTCTGCAGCAGGTTCAACTTTGTAAATTTACCTAACAACAGCACCACTTAACCCTTTCTGAACCTTTTTTTATTTCCAACCTCGCTCCTCAGTTACAAAGTAATATGAATGAAAATAATAATAATAAAAAACTATGAGGCAAATATAAACTTCTGCAAGCTCTTGTTCATATATATAAAATATTAAACTAGATGTCAAAAAATGCAAACAATAAATATGTAACACTCAGCATATGATCACATGTGGCTGTAAACTTTTAAAGCTAGTTGCTGAAGGCTTCCGACGGTGGACATGTATGGGAAAATTATGTCAGAAGTCTTCACAGGGAGGAGAGAGAGAATGGTCAACTGTCTAGAATCTACACTTCTTCTGTCCCTCTTTCACTTAAGTATTTTGCTTTCTCCGATATATGTTTAGCTTCATTAACAACAGGATTCTGAGAATATAAGATTACAGCATATGACACAATGGAAATCGCTACAAATGTGTTTATATAAACAGGAATTCCAAACAGAATCCAGCACAAAATGGCAGTGAACATTAATTCAAGAGCACTTGCAAATGTTTTCAAGATGGAGTTCAAGTTCTTGAGGAAAAAGCTGGTTATTATACCAATAGCAGCATTGTTGAGCATGATGATGATGACTTTGAACTGGAACACAGATGTTAAAGAGTCTCGAGTGAAAGCCTCAAAAAGGTTCCCCTGGTAGAGTAGTATTCCAGCATTACACACAATCGAGTCCACGTACATGAAAACATTCTGGACAAATATATTAACCCCTGCACCTTCTCCCTTCAGTAGATATTCATTGTACACTCCAGCGAAGCATGAACATAATGTCTGCAAATGAAACAGATGTAATCAATACAATGGGAAAAAAATGCTCATGGCAGGAAGTGGGCAATTATATAACATTACATAATGAGGAACTTACTGATTCATAGAGGTCTTTGTTCTTATAACAGTGAAATATCAGAGTATTTGATGAGGTAGACAAGAAATTCATATATAGTTATTTGTATGGACTTCTGTTAGAAAGTGTCAAGTCAGAAGACTTCCAACATGGAAGGACAATGTTATGATGAACACTAAGAAACCGTTCATGTCCGTACGTTGCCACAGCTGTCACTTCAGCTACATGGAAGTTTCTCCAGTGTTCAATCAAAAGCTGCAATTGCATGGAAAACGTTACATTCAGCGCTGCTTATTCTTGAAAGCCAATGTTAGACATCAAGAGAGCAGTCTGCCTGGATAAAAGCTGTATGGAACATAGTTAAGTCCAGTGGCAATTTCACTGCTGACACCGTCTGACCTTCAGTTTCTACAAAGCATTAGAAGAGGTCTGAAATGCAACATCTGAGATTTTCGCAGCTGTGAAGATTCATACTGAAGTACAGTAGGATCCGCTGCCAGTGAGCCTCATATGTCAGGTGTGGTGTTATGCAGGAGCATGTTGAATCCATCATCAGTATGTTACTGCAAAATCTTAGCATCCATCTACATGCCTACATGATGTCAATAACCACCNGCTATCACTAGAGGTTCCAAACTTTCTGCAGTAAAACCACTATTTATACACTGATAGGTACATACTCATCCTTGTGAAGCTCCAGTCCGTCACATAAGATGCTGAATATAATAATTGCATTTGATGGCAAGTCTGGGGCCTCTGTTGAGAGCATTACTGCATGTGAACATCATGCATCTAATACAGGTGACTCTCGTGATGCATGGGATCTGTATTCTTGCACATCACTGTATTTATCAAAAACATGTAGATCAGGAAACAGTGAATGAATACTTGGGACACACGGTAGTGTATTTGGTTGAGGCACTATATGCTACAAGCTGGAAGGTCGCAGGTTTAATTCCCAATGAGGTCACTTGCCAAATCCTTCCAGCTGTACTATAGTCCTGGGGTTGACTCAGCTTCTTGACAGAAATGAGTACCAGGGATCTTCTTGAGGGGTAAAGGGCGGCCAGGGCGTAAGGCTGACAACCTTACCATCTGTAAGCCGATTGTCTAGATAATGTGGGACCCTCAACATCTCACAACCCTATGGGCCTCCATGGCTTGTTACAGGGATAGCTTTACCTTTTATATATTATATAAAATTAGTTCTGTGAAACTATGTATAATGATCTTAAGATGTAGAGGCAGGTTACATCTCTTCATATTTCTTATAATATCAATTTCTGATACACAGACTTCATTATGTATGTTTATCTCACAAACAGCATTTCTATATCAGATCTGAGGTCCTCATGATAGTGAACACTAAGAATGTGCTATCACGTAGTCTTGTTCTGGATGGGTTCCTTTGAAATGCTGGTACCTATCCATCACACAACAAGACAATACATTCTAGAAGAATGCAATCCTAATATTCTTATAATTAATTATCTGACCTCACTCATCTGGTCTCCACTTTGACTCTCACCAACTTGATTCACTTCTAATGTGTTCCAAGTTTGATTATGACCACCAACAACATTTAATCAATAAAGCATCCCAATGCAAGTTACATGTGCTCATACTTCCCTGCATGTTTGCACTCCACAGCTCACTCATTTTTCTCCACAGATTTAAATTCTTCTTCTGCTGTCTGAATGCATCATCAAGTTTAAATGGTATCTTTTTGTGACGTGACACTGAGGTTCTTCCAGCAGTAACAATGATGATTAACATCTTCTGGGATGTGATGCAATGTAATGTGGTAGAATCTTATTTGTACTTCAGAGAAATATTCTGTCTCCATCTTCAGCGGCCGAAGAGTTTACTGAACAAGGAAGTAGTAAGCAGAAAAATGTACCGTAACTCTTACTCTGCTTCCTGCCTGTTTTCTTGCTTGGCTTAGTCTTCAACTGAGAAGATGTGAGCAATACATTCCTCCAAAACAACTGTGAACTTCTATCTGAATACACAAAATAAGATCCCAGAAGACTGTACTCTTTTTGCGGCATGTTCTTCCACAGTGCTATCATCTAAGCTGGGTTAAGATGTTGGCAGGAAGAATACTTTTCTTTCAAGGTATTGAGAAGTTACATCCATAAACATTTTGTCATGTTTTGTTTTGTCTCATCAAATATTCATTCAACCTCTTTCCTGTCCTCTTTATTTTACTCCCCCCAAATTTATTTGTACGAAGTTAACATGTAGTATTTGCTTATTTCACAGCGCCATCCTTTATAAGCTTGAGGTGGTGGAGTGGCAGTATCTTATAGTAAAGAAAGAATGAAGAACTGTCCCTATGGCAGCACTATCTATGAAGCAATAGAACTAGGTTTGTTACTATAAAAGTTATTATTTTAATTATACAGCATGATTATGATTAAAAGTGGCATGCATGTTTACCATCCACATCAACTGGACTTGAGTTACAACACAACACTCACATTTAAGAAAGAAGGAATCTGCATAAAACAAAACCATCCTGTACTTGTGGGCACAGAAAAGTGAACAAAATATCTGATGGGGCAAACTGTTCATGTATCAAAGTGTGGGAATACTGTCTCAAGAGCTTCTAATATTTTTAACCACGGTTTGATTCCTTTAATAACACATTCCAAACTTTTTTGTCAAAATTCAAATGATTATCTACACTCAAAAGTCATAACAGAATATATCTAAGCTTGTGGTATACAGCAGCACTGTCAATAACTAAGTTTTGTATGAGTAATGAGGTCGGTCTAAAAGTAAGAACGGAGAAAATAAAGCATATGTTCATGTCTTGCTGCCAGAATGTATGCAAATTGTGGCAAGTTCAAATATTGTGAAACAATACAACCTTTTCTTGTGATTTATTTTTTAGCACTGTCAATGTCTTAGACTGTGGTGTCAAATTACCATTTACTGACTGATAATTAATGATTAGACAGATCTGCAGGGAAATTGCTGGGCCTAACCAACCCAGCATTTCCTTGGAGGGAATCACAGAAAAAATCAGTTACAACAAATAATGTTCTGGCCAGGATTCAAACCAAGCACTCCCACTGCATCGTGTTTATTTTTTATTTTAATTATGTAAGTGAACTCAAATTTTTAAATATCAGTATCATTCCTCCTTCAGAGTTTTATTCTGTATATATACATATATACACACACACAAACAATTGAGACCACCTCTGTGGTCTAATGGTCAGAGTTCCTGGATACAGATCCAGACATCTCAGGTTTGATTCCCAGCACTAACAGATTTTCTGAGAATTAGTGGGTCTGGAATGGGGTCCACTCAGCCTCGTGAGGACAACTGAGGAGTTACTTGAATGAAAAAGTAGCAGCTCTGGTCTAGAAAACCGAGGTTAACAGCCATGGGGAACCACTGCACTGACCACATGGCACCCTCTATCTGCAAAAGTTGGCACTAACTTCACTGATGTCGCTCGGTGAGTATAGTTCACTTGTAGACTACAGGCCACAGAGTTTATATATATAATTGTGATAATGACATGGAAAGTGGCAAAAATACTCCTGCTTGTTCTGCATAAAAATAATGAAAATGAAATGTGAAAGGGAAGACTGAGTCTCTTAGAACTGTAGTCTAAAACAGATCTATTGTGCCAGCCACTAATGATAACAGCGATAAGGTATGTGGAGCAGTGACAATGCTTAGCAGGGGAAAACAAAACTACCCAGAGCTAAACCTGCTCAAAAACAACACTGCTATACTATGTAACATACCTGTACAAATATAAACACCAAATTTATACTCAGATGAAAGCCATTATCTGACTTTTGTGCCTCTGGTGTCGCTGAAATCTTGGCAGCATCTGTTCGTGTGAAGTCTATCTGTTTTATCATACAGCCTGCCGTTAGAAGAATTAATGATAGCCATTGTTTGGAACTTAAGTGCTTTCTAAAAAGAATCTGCAACACATAAGATATATACACCTTACTGAAAATATATAATTAGATATAGAAATGATTTCCATACAATTCCCCAAACTACACAGCAGCTGCATTCCCAGGAGTGGCTGTGTCTCACTTGAAATTTCACATTTATTTGGCTATTGTTTGGTCCACCATTTTTAATTTTCATTGAAAAGAATGTAATTCGATTAAGCTTATCACCAGTCATTTTAGACATTTACAAATCCTAATTTTTGTTTTTGTTTTACACAAATAATTTCATAATGTTCTGTCGTCACTAATAGATTAATTTAAAAATTATATGGAAAGAAGCAAAATATGATCTATCTTCAGTGATTTGTGTAAAACTCACACATTTATCTGTCCACTCTCAAGAGCTATAATGATGATGTGTTACAGACAGGTTTAATACATTTCTGGACTCTGTCCATTATAATGTTCTAGGAATAGTCTATTTTTAGAACATGACAAAGTCCAGGAACTCAGTAATCCCAAATTGAATATGTGTTTAATTATTTACATTATAAATGTAAACTGCGACATGAAATGTCACTCCAATAAATAAACAACGAGAAAATTAAACTGGAACATGAAATGTCACTCCAATAAATAAACAACGGAGAAAATTACTTAAACACAATTCCCTACATATAACCACGACACATTCCACTATTCCTGCATCATAAAAATGTACTACCCAAGATGCCAGAAAAGTAGACACCAGCTGTATGGATCTATGGTCCCATGAACCCCATACAATCTTAAGTTGAGTTAACACTATGATCAGGCAACAAACCTAGGTCCTGGCAGATAAGCACATAATCCACAAGATTACCTTTCCTTATGCCAACATCACAAGTGACCCACACCACTGACAACCAAGCCAGAATACAATATTTGATGTCATTACTTCCTACAGCAAAATTTAAATACCCTTAAATGGTGCTTCCACATCACGATACAGACTGGTGATTAAACGCCCATAAATAAACAAAAATATAAATATTCAGGGATACACAGTGTGACGATTAAGTTCCCGAAATTACACTATTACAGTAATACAACTAACAGGACAAACGGGACTAGTTTCAGTGAATGTTTATTTATATGATGTGCAAGTTTCAACTTGTGTGCTTGATGCATATAAGGATTACAACTGTTTTGGTGAAGTTAGTATTTTCGTTGTGTCGAAGGTTTCAAATGGAACAAATACAGTGATTAAGTTTTGTGTAAAATTAGAGAAAACAGCTACTGAAACCTTTGAAATGCTGAAAAGTGCATATGGTGAAGAATGTTTATTGAGAACAAGTGTGTTTGAATAGCATAACAGGTTCAAGAAGGGCAAGAGCTGTTACAAGATGATGAATGGAAACGCCATCCTTCAACTTCCAGAACAGAAGAATCAACAGAAGTCATTCAAAAGTGTTTGGCCGAAGATCGAATTTTGAGTGTTCGGATGTTAGATGAAATGTCAGGGATCAATAGAGTGACAGTTCATCACGTTAGGCCTCAGTTTCAGGAAAGTGGGTCTTGGTATCTTCTGCATGACAATGCACCAGTGCATTCTTCAGACACTGCCTCTGAGTTTTTGGCGAAACAAGGGATCCCTGTGTTATCCCAACCACCATAATCCCCTGATTTAACACCGACTGACTTCTTTCATTTCCTAAATTAAAATCTGCGATGAAAGGGCCTAGATTCAAGGCTGTTTCATCGATCCAACAGACTGTGATGACAGAACTCAAGGCGTTACAGGAAGAAGCGTTCTCTCAAGCATTCAATTCATTGTATGAGTGATGTAAATGATCTACAGAAGCAGGCAGGGACTATACTGAGTGATGGTACTATTAAATATGTTTTATCTTTTTTGTGAGGTTCTTTATGGCCTCAGTTCGGGAACTTAATTGTCACACTATGTATGCAGACATTAATGGGAACGATGCATTAAATACAGCAAACTCCTCATTATCAGGCATGTTTGGAGAATGAGGTGAGTACATTACATGAGAAAACTCTTACAGAAACCCAGTACATAGTCGCAACAACATGTTTTTGCTCTACTTCTTGCATGGGAGTTTCATTACGCATTATAGTGCAGTGAAGAGTGAAACGTTACTGATACGGATGCTGCAAACATGATCATAAACTCAGCCAGCTTCTAGTCTAATAGCATCTGCCTGAGGGCAGACAATGGTGTTGCTAGTAGCAGCTGGGAGAACTGCTATGTGGCAGGTGAACATATACACACAGCAGATCTGCTTCTAGAATAACTAAGTTTACAAAAATGGTACATTTTCTTCCAAATTTTTGGCCAGTTGGATAAGAATTCCAGGTGTCCGAATACCAGATAACTAGGAGTTTACTGTAGCAAAAGAACAGCACTATACAGCATGGCAATGAGGTTTCTTTCAAGTGCTACTTTCCATTAACCCTTCAGCAGGAACAGTTCCGAAGATATATATATAATTTCTCAATACTAATGCCATTATCAGTTAGCCTTTATCCTACGGGCATTTAAATTCCCGTAAGGGCAGCGGTACGGAATTAATTTAAATACCCGCCATAAAAACTGTAATCATCTACTAAATTTGCTCCTATTTCTGCAATTTCTGTAATAAACANAATTATCAGCCAGGATCGGGGAATATATGATCTGAGATTTTCATGGCAATGAAGATTCTAATTGTGGTCATATGATACTGTGTATCATCTAGAATGTGGGTATCCATATTTTGGAGGCAGTATATTCATCCTGTGGGATGTTGTTTCTGGTACTCGGTAAGGAGGCTGTCAACTGGGGTGTACTTCACACTGGAGTACACCAGGATTTCACATGGCAGTTCACGGTCGCCGATGTCACACATCCCCTCATCAGTGTCGACCTCCTCTCCGAATTCGTCCTCCTGGTGGACTGCCAATACAACTGCCTACTGGACAGGGTCACATTGTCTGTTCTGGCCCAAGCCACCAGCTTGCTGATTCCCAGTGTCAAGACCATCAATGGCAGCTCACAGGTCAACAGTCTCCTCACCAAGAACCGAAACTGACAACTCCAAAATGTTTGTACTCACTTCTCAGATTACACACAGTCATAACCTTGAAGACCACAATATGAATCTTTGCTGTTATGTACTTACTATTAAAGTGGAGGCAGTTTGTTCGTCCAAAATAGTGGTACACAACTACAAAGATTACAGGTGGCAACATTAAAGACCACAACATGAAGATGGGGCAAGATCATAATAGTAAATGTTTAAAAAACTTGATATTCGCATTTCAGGCCAGCCAATAGCATGGTTTACCTGCAAACAGTACCAATAAACACTCACCTGAAATACAATACCAGTCACCACCACTCTGAATTGGAGAAGCAAGTAGTATGTTGTTGGGTCGAATGCTGACAGGCTGACAAAAGCCAAGTTGTTATACAAGCAGTACAGGAAAGCAGGAATGAAGTAAAGCATCATAACTGTCAACAAGGAACAAACTGTCATAAAACATCATCTAAAAATAAAATAACTAAGTGAAAATTCATTTCACTGGACTTCATAAAGAATACTGGCATATGTGAGAATTAAACTTTTCAATTCTTTATCAGAGTCCATCGCAACACAACAATACAATGGTCAAGGCTAAAATTAGCTTAGCTTTTTACGTGTTTTGGCTATTAAAGCCATCATCAGGCAAACACACGACTATCAATATTCACACACTACTGAACTGCAATTTTGATGGTGAAGCTGGATACTTGATAATTATTACATTATAAAATACATGGTATAAAATACAATGAACTATAAACTTTTTACAAAACGAAAGTTATGGTGTAAAATAAGGTTAAAAACTCTTCATGTGATATTCCATATCATCAAGTTAGTTGTTGCAATTTTGTCATATTCCCGTGAACATAATGGTATATTCTAGACTTGTTTACATGTAACAAACTATGTGGAGACCCATGGTCTAACCTGTCATGCATTATGTGGTAGGCCATGCCGTGTGAACACGCCTGGTTCCGACAGCAGCCCAAAGAATTTTATGCTGCTGGTTTTCAGGGGCTTGTGAAACGATGGGACAAGTGCCTCAACGTATAGGGAGATTATGTTGAGAAATAAAAGCATTTTTCAAATCAGTACTCTTATTTGTTTAAGTTCTATAGCCATTTGCAACTTACTTATTGACAAGTGTGTTAAGCCGATCTAATTGGCTCACGGCATTCAATGGATTAAGTAAGTCAGCCCCTTGTGAGCAAATGAGACAGCCTCCTGATACGGAGAGCACGTAGGAATATATGCATTGTTACGTACATTAATGCAACCTGGTCACTAAAGGTTAATTTCTGTACACATGGGAACAAACTGGTGGCTTCCACACACGAAATATACATTTTCAAGACAACATTTTAAAAAGCCTTGGTCTTGCCAACTACTGTGTTGTCAAACACACAATCCCTGCTGCTCATGAGAGATTGTTCTACCTTAATAACAAGGGGTATGCTACTACAATCCACATACTTTTGTTCTCAGCAACCAGGAAACCTTAAGAGTAGTGACCTTGGCTGAAGTGAGGCAAACATTGTGATGACTACTGTAATTCTGCTAGACTAAACTGAATATCCTGATGTACATATATTTGGAAAAGCAAAAACAGACTTACCACTAGAGTTAATGTGTATCTCCTTTATTAGAGAAGACATGGTGAAACTGTAAAATGAAACAGCAGCTGGAGTTTTCAAAATTTAAAATATAAACATAAACAACAAATCAATTACAAACACACTCATAGGAATACAGAAATCAGTAGTACATAGCAAGCATGGGGAGAAGAGGAATGCCAACTGAATTCTGGTGGGGAACCCAGAAGGAAAAAGACTACTATGAATGCTCAGAAGTAGGTTAGAGGACAATATTAAAATGAATCTTAGAGAGAGAGGATGGGGTGACATGAAAAGAATTCATCTGGCTCAGGACTGAGGCCATTGGAGGACTCTTGCGAACATTGTAATGAACCTTCAGGTTCCATAAAATGCTGAAAAGTTCTTCAGTAGCTGCATAATTGGTGGCTTCTCACGAAGGGCTCAGCTAAATATAGTTATTTAGTTATAAACAACCCTCTTGAACTTGGCTGCCTATATGTTTTGTATCTCGTCCACTTTCTTACATTCCATACTGTGGTACTACACCATTTCAACTTTTCTATGTCAGAAACACAGAAAAACAACTAACTCTTCGTACAAGTAGGCCAGAAGTGGCCGCAGTACAAGGGACTTAGTTCCACCCCACTAGCAATAAAAAAACTTTGTACCACTCTGTACAAATGAAAATCTCTCCATCCATGTGCCACTTGTACACGCTGTACATTCTTTCATTTCAATGGACAGACAATGGAATTCCCATGGCCAGGAACAGCCTACCTTTTGGGCAGCAATATTTGGAATTTCCAAGCAGTGTAAATCTCACCTGACTTTTGGACCCTGTTTTGCAATATCTCTGTAAAATTAGAGATTTCTTGGATTTTCCAAGCCAAGACCAGTCACATTTCTACTGTTACATCTGTGGTCTTATTACTTCATTCTTTCCGCAAGAGCCTGTGCACTGTGATGTGTAATAGAAAATGTAAGTATGTTAGTTAATGAAATCATAAGTGGCCTCTGTAGTCTAGGGGTAACGTTCCCACCTCATGACTCAAGGTACGCAGGTTCAAACCCGGCGGAGGTCGTGGAATTTTTAAGGGCGGAAAAATTCAGGGAACAAGTCCTCCGGGAGGGACTTTAAGCCGTGTGTCCCATGTTGCAGCTTTACGGCACGTAAAAGATCCTCATGTCTCTAGGAGACCTCTGAGCAAAATTAGGCAAAGTTTCCCGCCCAAGTAGTTTCCAATTCCTCTGGTAGAGGGGGAAGTATCGGGGACCACTGCCAGAGAGGGCCGACCTTGCTGGCAGAACGAGGCTGATAGCGAACACCAGTACTGGAAGGGCATGGCGACAGTAGAAATTAAAGGGGGACGCACAATGGATCAACAACTGGTTGTAGTGCATGCAGAAACCCACCCCCTCCAATAATAATAGTAATGAAATCATGCAATGAGCTCAAACAAAAGAAGATACATTTGGAGTGATAGTGTTAAACAGTAAGCATTCCACAACAGTTTGGTGTTGCAAAGATAACCGACACATCAACAAGAACATGAACAAGTTTCGGAAGAGATGGCATGAGAACTGCACAAAAATTACATACAACAGACATTTTGAAGAACCATGTTGCCTCCATCTTCGGGGTCAAAGTATAAGCCAAACAAGAAATCAGTGTGAAAGTAGGTGGCACACAGATCTGCTCTGCTTGCTTTCACCACTGTGGGAACCCCAAATCCTAAACAGGCAATCAACCTACTGATATTCCCATTCAAGAAATGTTCCAGAAATGTCATTCATTAACACTGCCGTTAAGTACACGGTCACTATTGACACAAAAATGATACATTTTACACAAGTCAGCAACCTGCTTAGGTTTTGTTATTTGAACGGAACGACAGCTTGACAGACTGCACTTCAGTAGCAGTAGAGATGGCTATGGTCAATAAAACATATAGTTTTGGAAGTGTGGTGATAACTGTGTATCATTTGCTTCAACATTCACCAATACAAAATTAAGCCCAAAGAGTATAACAGGTTACATTTTATACTCAGAATAAACAATAATTGTTTTTCTGAACTTCATTAACGGCATCATATTTGAAAAAGAGCTGCAGTCTGCTTTCTTTAAAAGAAGAACCAAGTTTTTAAATACTACAATGAGCCCCCC